TAATTGTCAAGTGATGATTAGAATATTCCATGTCAATTATCGTTTGCTTTTATACTATTGACCTGGAGCGGGAGATTCAACTAATCGAGATTCAGAAGTTCTAGAATTTCACCCCAACCATCAGTAGCTTTAGCCAAAGCATTTATAACACGATCTAAATAAACATCTCTTACTGATTCACGAACAATTTTTCCTGTTGTGTTAACATAACTTTCTTATTCTATCGTCAAACCATCACTCGTTAATACAACACCAAAATTGTTTGATTCTAAATTATGGACAATGCCTATCGTACCATCTTCAAATTCTACTAATTCACCTATCATTACTTTACGAAAACCGCAAATAACGAGCGATTATACTCTATAATATATGATTTATTAAAAAAAAAAATTTAACGACTTGCTAAATAATACAATCTTATCCATTAAACTCATTACAACACTTAACTTGCCACAAAAAGCAACGCGCGTCAAGAATTTAAGATTCCAAGATTTTGTCTCGTTTTTGCCTGATTATCATTAAATGCCATAATCACATGCTAACGGTATATCGCTAATTTTAATGTAACATGACAGTGTTAGTAAGTATTGACAAAATATAAATAGATACGAGCAAAATTAAAAATACATAAATTATTTTAAACAATATATTATTGCAAAATTAAGAAATCCACCACCAAAATTTTTCTTAACCTAATTTTAATTAACGTTAATTAAAATCATTTTACGGTGATTATCGATCTAATTTAGTTATTAAAATTCATTCCTACATTTGACCCGTCGCCTATTGTAAATTAGGGAAAGCAAGAGGGTCGGTGTGCAAATTAATATAAGCGGGTGAAGGGAGGGAGGGGGGGGAATTAATAATATGCAAAAAGTAAAGGGGTCGATGTGATATTATAAAAAGATAAACAGAAGAACATTTAACTTTATCGGACGGTGGAAGTGCACGTGACGACAACCCGAATCCCGACATGTACCTCGTCAACACGGAATTACTCCAACCCGGGGGGGGGGGGCCCTTTTTTCCATCTGATTCGGTCCCCTCTTCACAACTACGCGGGGGGGGGGGGGGGGGCGGTGCCGCCTCCTCTCATTCTTAATTGATTATTTATTATTTTTAATTAAAAGAAGACAAAATTATCAAAACCGGATAAAATTAAAGGAGATATAATTCGCTGCGGACGCGCGTCCGGTGGACCCCACTCGATGTGGATTTTCGGCCGTCGGATCGGCGGAGAGTCGATCCACACGAATCGCGAGGAGTGGGAATTTTTTTTTTTTGATCGGCGAGTCAGAGACAAGAATGATCCCCATGCTCCTCATCATGAGGCCGCCTTCTCCCCCCTGTTCATACACTACCGCTCGCTCTGTTTTCTTTTTTTAATTAATTAATTAATTAATTAATTGATTGTGCAGTGGGATGTCCGTACAGAAAAAATGGGACCCGCGATGACGTCGGCAATGGGATTTTCTAACCTGCACCAGCGGAATGACCCATTCATGCCGGCGACGTGTCTGGGTTACCAGATTAACTGAATTTATCCTCTCTCGTTTTAAATTTCTCGAGTCTGGGACCGTTTGGCTGGGGAGAAACATCAGGAAAACGAAGGAAAATGAACTGAAACACGATCGGGAAAATAAACGGTTACAATTTTAATTGACGATTTGAATATGAAACGTTAAAAGAGACGGAACAACGAGAAATTATGGATTTTCTCGGTTGCAAAAATACCAGATCTCCGGAGTTATCTATATACATATACATATATATATATGTTTTCTTTTTTTTTTTTTTCTGAGTCCGTACATGTCAGCTTACTTTCTCTCTCTGTAATGGAAGACGACATCGTTTTAGAGAGAAGGGGCGGAAAAAAAAAAAAAAAAACCAAACGGAAGCTTCAGCCTTTCTCTCACCTCCAGCAAACAAGAAAGGGAAAATAAAGTAAAAAAACGCAAGTGCTAAAGCGGAAAAACGACGGGGTCACAAAAAATCAGGCCACTTCAGCTGCGGGGAGGTTCAGATCAAAATCGTGAAACGATCTTCTCCCTGCACCGCCGTCGTAATCCACGACCGATGACGAATCGGAATCGCTCTGAGTCCCACCCGAGACTCCGCTGGCGTTTCCCCTCATCGGAGCAAGTTGAAAGCCCGACACCGTCCGATCGAACCTGCAGGCGTCGCGAGAAACACGTGCGCCGGTGACGCCGGCGCCGCATCCACCTCGGGGCGTCACGTCGTAAAGAAACACCGGACGCGCCACGACGGGAAGAGGAAAGCAAGGGCCGACACCGCCGCCGCCACCGAGACTGAGCTCCAGCTGCGGTGGTGGCGGAGGAGAAGCGGACTCCACGGTGCTGCTCTGGCTGGGACTCCGCGTAAAACTGTTGCTATTGTTCGCACCACCGTTATTGTTATTATTCAGCTCGGCCACAGTCGGGAAGTTCGTCTTCGCCTTAGCGCCCCGGAACTCACGCGCAGCGGCGTCGTAAGCACGCGCCGCCTCCTCGGCAGTGTCGAATGTTCCGAGCCAGACTCTTGTCTTCTTGCCGGGATCCCGGATCTCAGCAGCGTAACGTCCCCACGGACGCTTCCGGACGCCTCTGTACCTGATCTCCTTAGAATTGGGATTTGGATTGGCGGCGACCGGCTGAAGCTTTTCCCTGGGAGCCATTAAAGCACATATATATATGTACGTACGCAGATTATTGATGGTGTGCTTTCGGTATTTGTGATGAAGATGGTGAGAGAAGAGGGGCGGTGAGGGCGTTTATATAGAAGGAGGAAGAGAAGGAGGGCGTGCGTGTGTGTTAAAGCTACGCTCCTTTTGGGCGGTTGTTGTGTACAGTCAAAGCAGGGACGTGGCTTCCCTTGCACGAAGCAGTCGTGTCTCTGTAATCCAATCATTTTATGCCACGTTATTATTATTATTTAATTTTAAATAAATAAATAAATCATCTTTTAATCACTTCAATTAACCTTTTCATGATTTGATTTTACGTTGTTAATTAATTAAATTAATATATGTTTGTTTTTTTTTTTCCCCTTGTTGTGGCAGGCAAGATCTTGCTCTTCCGAATTTCATCTGCTTTTTCTGAAGTTGAATTTTGGTCAATGAAATTATGGCTGTGGACCAACTTAATTGAATTGGAAGGTTGTGTATTTTGTGGGTAATTAGGATTAATTAGATTATAATTAATAATTAATAATTAGAAATAATATATATTTACACGGACATAATCCATCGGATTAAATGTATCGGATATTTAAGCTTATAATTATCTGCTGTCACTAACGGCGACACTTCAAATATGTTCCTCTGCTACAACCCTTTGACACGCCCGCTGTCTCACCGTTACACGTGTCAGCCCTGCAATGCCATGGTTGAAATTTTGAGTCACGTTTTTTTATTTTTTTATAAATATTATCAGCTTTTTTTTAAATATTAAATTAATTTAATGCTGCATCGCGCAAATATTTAAATTAAAAAAACAAATATAATTTTTTTTTTAAATTGCAAGGAGCCAGGAGGGAGCGCAGGCCGCAGGGCGAGACACGTGAATCGAATGCGTGTCGAGTTGCGTTAGCGTCTTTCGGGGTGCACTTTGAGGGAATAAGTGGGTCCCATAAGAGCGTGCCCTTCACGCCCAACACGTGGCATCTGGCATTCTAACTCATCGGATTGTGTCGGGGCTCAGTCAACGAGGCTTTGACTGCACTGTGCGCAAATTTTTTTTTTTTTTTTTTTTAAAAAAGGGAGAGCCGCCCTGCCGCAACCGAACGCAGTGGGTCCCAGAAACAAACACGCGCACACTCCGTCACCAGCCGAGTATCTTCGTGTTGCCACGTGGACAAGCGTCCCGCAAACTACGGGTTTCTCGAGGTGGGACCCGGGAGGGCGGCGTTGTCTAACGGCGGCTGAGAAGGCGGTCCCGCCGCTTGGCTGTTTTGTTTCGCTTGCTGGGAACTGACGGAAACTTTTGGTGACGGCAGGTTTGGATTTTATTATTATTATTTATTTAATTGAATTAAAAATTACTTTATTCAGTTTTTTTGTCTCGTTCTTAGACAACATTTGTTGGCATGCTCCGGCTTCTCGCCGCGTGAGTCGGACCCGGATCTGCCCCAACCCGCTTGGAAATATATTTTTTATTTTTTTTTTAAATCGTTGTTTCCTTTGAAGCGGTCACGGGGAATCTGACGGTTCTGAGCGTTACTTCAGTCCGATGTCGACACGTGTCACCTTTTATTACTATAAAATCTATTTGACTAATTAAATAATAAAATTTCTAAAATAATAAAAGTTAAATATTGCACTTATTTAAAATGTGTTAAATTATTAAACATTATTCTAATAAATATTTTATTTTAAAACATTGGATTTAACTTACCTATTTATTCAATATAAATATTAATTAATCTATATATATTATATATATATATAAAAGAAGAAAAGAATGTTTCTATGTAACAAGACATTGGTGCATGCTAATATACCTTATCTTATAAAAATATTTTATTTAAAGTGGTTAGACCATTTGTTCATTCATCACTTTTTTTTTTTTAATCCATTGTATAATTACCCATATAATCTTTTTAATCATGAATTAAATTTGTTGTCTAATGATGATCGATTATAAATTTTGTTTAAGTAATTTAATAATTTTTTTAAAAAAATAAATGAGGTTAATTATGATGATTAAACTAAATTAGAAACTTGATTAATCTCGTGATTTATGAAATTTTTATTAAGATAAATTCGACGATTATATGACTTATTTTAGATTATCACTTCAATGCATAATATTAATGTTTAAGCTAAAAATGTTATATTTACCACCTATACTATCTCTATAAAATATTTTACGATAAAAAAAATTGTATTCTAATATCGAATATTTTATTTTCTCGTGTTTAAATCGTATCATTCCACTTGCATTTTTTATTATTAAAATTTTCATTATTATTATTCTAGTTGTATTTGAAATTCTCTTAAATTATATAGAAAATAATTAATAATATGATACGAAAATAATAAAATGATGTCAATTATGATACAAAAATTATATTATAATATCATGAGTTTTGTTTTTTCGTGCCTAAACTATATCGTTCAACTTGCATTTTCTACTATCGAAATTTTTACTTGAAATTCTCTTTTAAATTGTATCAAAAATAAATCAAATTTTACGTAATCGTATTTAAAATTCACGTATAGTCTGAGTAAGAAGTATAAAACTCTAAATGAAATTAGAGCATTTTATTTTTTAAGTTATATGGAAATTAGTAAAATATAAAAATTTATTAATTTAAATTTATTTAGAATTATATTTTAATTAAACTAAATATGTATTATTATGTTGAATGCTTACTTTACAAGAAGAAAAAACCCTAAAGTCATCTCCTTTATCTGGTCGTATATGCTGGTTTCATACTTCATCCGTTCAAAGCTTCTTCGCGGACAAGTATGAAACGGAAATTCAAGTTCAAAATCCTAACCAGAAATACTCTCTGTCTCCTTCGCCAAATCTCACATAACGCTTCCTCTTCTTCTCTTCCTCTTCGAAATTTTCACGCCCCAACGAACCCGAATCTTCACTATCAAGCCAAAGCTTTCGCATTTCCTTCACTTTCTATAACTGAAACAGCTCGGTTTATTCATTCGATCCCGGGTGGTGATCAGATCAGGCAGTTTGACAGAGACCCAGATAACCAATCCGCTACAGAAGTTCAACAAATCCTTGAGAACTTCAGAGCAAGTTCAGCACAGGAGATTGAGCTAGCTCTCGATCAGTGCGGGCTTGTACTAAGTGACGACTTAGTTTTAAATGTGCTTCATCAGAATCAGTTTGATTGGAAACTGGCTTTTGTGTTCTTCAAATGGGTTTCTAAAGGAGGTTGTTATTCACCCGGGTCCATCGTTTATAACGAGATTCTTGACGTTCTTGGGAAAATGCAAGTTTTTGACGAGTTGATCGAAGTGCTCGACGAAATGTCACGGAGAAAGGGACTTCTCGATGAGAAGACTTTTGAGGTATTGCTTAACCGATATGCAGCTGCACGTAAGGTGGAGGAAGCAATTGAAGTTTATAAAAGGAGAAAACAGTTTGGTATTGAGAATGATTTGGTTGCGTTTCAGGCACTTCTGACATGGCTATGCAGATATAAGCTTGTGGAAGTTGCAGAAACTTTGTTTTGTTCCAAGCAGAATGAGTTTCCTTCTGATATAAAGATAAGGAATATCATTCTCAATGGTTGGTGTGTTTTGGGAAACGTGCGTGAGGCTAAGAGGTTTTGGAAGGATATTCTCTCGTCCGGATGCAAGCCGGATTTGTGGACCCATGGGACATTCATAAATGCACTCACCAAGAGGGGGAAATTGGGCACTGCCATGAAGCTGTTTCGATCAATGTTGGATAAGGGTTACAACCCAGATGTGGTGATCTGCAATTGTATCATCGATGCGCTTTGTTTTAAGAAGAGGATACCTGAAGCTTTGCAAGTTTTTAGGGAAATGAGGGAGAGAGGTTGTTTACCAAATGCTGCAACTTACAACTCGCTCATCAAGCATCTGTGCAAGATTCGGAGAATGGATAAGGTCTATGAGCTCTTACATGAAATGGAGCAGAAGAAAGGATCTTGCTTGCCTAATGAAATAACTTACAGTTACTTGCTAAAGTCCTTGAAAAGACCAGGGGAAGTTCCTGAAGTTTTGGAGAGAATGGAGAGAAATGAATGCAGTATGACTGGTGATATCTACAATTTGATTCTGAAGTTGTACGTGGACTGGGATCTTGAAGAAAAAGTAGGGTATACATGGGATGAGATGGAGAAAGCTGGTTTGGGACCTGACCGTCGGTCTTACACAATCCTGATTCATTGGCTCCATGAAAAGGGAAAGATTGAGGATGCTTTGTATTATTTTAATGAGATGATATCAAAAGGAATGGTTCTGGAACCAAGGACCGAGATTCTGGTGAATGACATGAATACCAAGTTGAAAGAGAGAGAACAAGAGAAAAAGATTCCAACAGAAGAAGACAAGTCAAGGAGATCCTCCCAGTCCAAAAGAAATAAACTGAGAAATAGGTGATGCTTATTCTCGTCTTCTAAAGTGGGATTTAGGAAACCGTTTCAAATTCTTGAAGGTCGAATAACTATGATTAAGGTTAGATCTTATGGTGCCAAATGCTATCTGTGTATGCATAGAAGCACAGATATTAACAACGTGCTGATGTTGATTCATGCATATTTTGACAGTTTGAAACGGACAGAGTTGAATTTTATAACCAAATCCATATTATAGAATTTTTTTTTTTATCTATTCCAAAGAGCTATGGGAAATCCCACAAGATCATAGTGACTACGTCTGTTCAAATTATGTAGCAGGTAAGTTTCTACAATAAAATAATAGCCAAATCTTCAGGATGAGACCAAGAACACAGCTGAAGAAAAGAGGAGAAACATCACAATACAGTCAGATAATGGAAACAGAGACCGTTTTATGGTAACTACAACGCATGCTTAGTTGCTGAAAGTGTTGCCATTCTCAGTTCAATTATCAATCAGACAGAAGAACTATTTACAGATGCACTTTTTCCCCCTCATCTGCAAGAGGAGTAGTCATGCACAAATGACAAACAATATGATTCAAATACAATTGGCTGCATTCAGTTTAGCAGCATATTGGTTTTTTTAGGCGCCTGAAAAGTAATCTGCTTATTTCGTTACCAAACAAGTAAGTTCTGAGAGAATATTTAAAATAAGTTACGAACAAGCAATGAGCAACCTCGAGCACTTATTAAATGTTAAAGGAAAAAACAATGAAAGATACTAATGAACCAAAATGGTACCTTTCTCAGTGCAGAGTTGGAAGTATGTATCTGTGCCAAGGAAACAACAGAAGGATGAGCTGGTCTTTGAACAATCCTCATCGGACAAACACCTTGAATTTGACGAAAACACAGATCAATCAAGTAAACCAAAAGCATCACCGGATTTCAATGGTAATTTTTACGACTTGAGAACCAAGATGTCGAAAACGAAAAATACCAGGGGAAAAGAATTCTACAAAAGGCTCTTCTTCCTCTAAGCACCTGTTGATAGGTGAAACTCATAATAACATTACCTTTGGGGAGAAGACGGCAGGAGATATTTACAGAGAAAGTGAGAGAGTTGAAGATAGAGAGGTTTTGGCGAGGAGAGGAGTTATGGTGATGGAGGAAGAGATTCCTTGATTTGCAAGGAATAACTAACAAAGGTTGAAGATTTTAGACACTTGAATTCATATTTCACCATTACATATTTTACATAATATTATCAGTTTTTGATTTGAAACAATTTAC